TGCCACAATGCTGGACTATTTTTAGAGATGGGTTCTGCTCTAGCTCAAGCTGGACTCTAGTTCAAGTGATCCCGCTCCTTGGCCTCCCAAGTGCCGGGATTACAGGCATGAGCCACTGCACCCAGCCCCAGAGGTGGATTTCTTGTTTGTAGGTTGGTGGCTGACAGATTCCTCTGCTGTCAGCCCCTCCCTCCCCTTACCAGCCCAGGTACATGCCCCCATCCTCATGCCACCATGGCCTTTCAGACTTCCGTTCCTTTAGCCCACATCCCGGGTTTCAGTTTGACCACAGGTAAACACACTACACCAGCAGGCCACATCCAGCTGCCATCTGATTTTGTAAATAATGTTTTGCAGTCTGTTCCTTCATTTTGTGTTGTCCATGACTGCTTTTGTGCTGGGCCAGCAAACATGAGTAATTGCAGCACAGACTACAAAGCCTAACATTACCACTTTCTGGACCCTTATGGAAAAAATTTGCTGACCTCTGATCTAGATTTCTGATGCCTGACTCACAACCCCAAGATCCCTGAATTCAGATCCAGGGCTCCATATGCCATGCCTCTCCCCTAGATTGCAAACTAGGACCCCTGACTCTAAGCAAGGCCGCAACCATACTCCAGAGACCAGCAGAGACACTGTGAGAGTCAGGGAAGAGTGATGGAGTCAGCCATAGCAAGAGAGAAACAGAGAGTGAGGGAGGGGGAGAGTTGTCTGTTTCAAAAACAGAAACAGAGCCAGACAAAATCCTGAAAGGGAAGCCCAGATCAAGGGATACAATGATGGAAAGAGCTGGACGCCATTCATTCATTTTCATTCATTCAACAAACATTTATCAACTACCCATTATGTGCTAAGTACTGTTTTAGGGGCTTTGCCAGTGAACAAAACTGGCAAAGGTTCCCTTCTTATTGTAGTCGAGAGATGCAAACAATAGAAAACAAATCCATAAAATAAATTTAATATGCACTTATGTATGTTAACATATTGCATATTAATATAAATCCTATATAATAAGTTGAATAATGAGGAAGATCAGGGGGAGTTCTCAGTGTTAAAAAAAAGACAAACAGGTCGGGCGCAGAGGCTCATGCCTGTAATCCCAGCAATTTGCCAGGCCACAGTAGAACTCAGGAGTTCGAGACCAGCTTCAGGAATAGTAAGATCCCATCTCTACTAAAAATAGACAAATTAGCCAAGATTTTGGCAGGTGCCTATAATCCCAGCTACTCAGGAGACTGAGGCAGGAGAATCGCTTGAGGGCAAGACTTGGAGGCTGTTGGGAGTTGTGACATCACAGCACTCTACCCACGGTGACAAAGTGAGACTCTAGCTCAAAAAAATAAAATAAAAAGGAGACAAATGTTCCATAAGCTGTTGAGTGAATAAATACACCGGTGCTGCCATGCAATGAAATTCTATTCAGCAGTACAAGTGGGACAAGCCACTGATGCTCACGGCATGTGACTCTCATGCCCGTTGTGCCACGTGTGGCATGCTGCTTCATTCCACTTATATGTCATGCTCAAAAAGACAAACTATCAGGGCAGGAAATAAGCTG